AGCGCACACACACACACACACACACACACACACACGTAGTACTGTATAATTCCATGTTCTAGCGGAAGATTCATTCGATTTTGCCTGTTTTTTTTTTTGATTGATTGATTGATTGATTGGTGGGGGCGGGGTCGGCCCCCCAGCCCCACACAAGCGCACGCACACACACACACACACATATACACGCCGCACCCGGAAAACACACACACACACACACACACACACACATGCGCGCACGCACACGCACACACACACACACACACACACACTGTAATAAGGAAACAATAAAGGAATGAAAAAAAAAAAGAACTATTTCTCTTTTTCCATTCCTCAATTGTTTCCTTATTACTAAAAAATAAAAAATAAAAATGTAAAAGTGAAGAATACAAAGAACTGCCAACCAAACCCTCCCCCCCCAAAAAAAAAACTCTTTTTTAATTTCTTTTTCAATTTCTCTTCTCAACCTTTTATGTTTTTGATTTTTTATAATTCTTTAATGTGATATTTTTCCAAAACAAAAATATGGGTTTGCAGGAATTAAAAATCCCTACAACCCCATATATATATATATCGTCAAATAGAACTGCCCGGTAAACCGTAGGCAGAGAGGGAGAAGAGGACAACAAACGAGGGGCTGTGACAAACTGTTTCGTCGGAGTTTTATATATATATATATATATTGGATTATTAAATAAATTAGGAAAAATATGGTAAATTCACGTCCGCGGCGCGGACGAGACCAGCCGCGGACGCGGCAATATATGTGGCCGCCCTCCGAGCTCGACCCCGCGGGCGCGTCCTCGGGTGTTTCGTAGACAATAACCCATTGGCCTACTACAAGATGCAAAACACGGTGAATAGCACGGTAGGGAGATGGGTGAACTTCATTGACTAGTTCGACGTCACGCTGTAGCACATCTCGGGACTCTCCAATCGAGCGGCGGATGCTCTTTCGTGACGAGCCGATCTTTGCGCATTGACACACCACGCCTTCAACTTCTACGAGGACCTCCATCAGCATTTTGTACGAGCATACAAGACGGATCTGGACTACGCCACCCTCTACAAGGAGCTTTTCTTTGGATCACCCGCCGACTCGCCACCACCACATCGTCGACGGGTAATTGCTTCTCCATTCGCAAGGTAAGGACTTGCTATGCGTCCCAAGGAAACCCCGGTTATGGACTCACCTCCTTGGTGAGTACCATGACTCACGGCTCCCCGGCCACGTCGGAGTCAATCGTATGGTCAATCATATTGTAAGTCTTGTGAGGTTTATCACCGGAACAAACCCTGCAACCGCAACCCTTGTGGCAAGTTGCAACCCTTGCCGATCCTCCGGGAACCCGAGATGTCCATCGCCATGGACGTCACCGGCCCCTTCCCTTGTGATCGCCTTGACCACGACGCCATCCTTACGGTTGTTGACTGACTAACTAAGTACCCGTGGTTTCTTCCTTCCAAGTATCATGTGTTGGCTCCCATGCTCGCGAGACTCTTGCACACCGGTTGGATTTGCGGCCACGACATTCCAAAGGACATCATTAGTGACCGCGACACTCGATTACGTCGGCTTTTTGAACCTCTCTCATGAAGGAATCCGACACCGAGATGAAACCGAGTATGGATCGGCACCCACAAACAGATGGGCAAACGGAGTGGGCACATCAAACCGCTCAAATGATGCTCCGTACACTCATCCGCCCGGACCAGAAAGATTGGGTTGACCACCTCCCCGACATCGAATTCGCCTACAACACTTCCTTGCATCCGATGATTGGCATGAATCCAACCCAGTTTCACCACGGTGGCCGAAAAAGTCGTATCTTTGCCGATCTTCTATTCCCTCGGGCAGCCAACATTGACGCCCCTTGCTCTCCCGCCTCCGTTAGGAAGTAGTAGGACTTGCTGGCCAAAGCCCACAGAAACATGCAAAAGGCTCAAGTCCGCATGCAGCAGCACGCTAATCGGCGGCGTGCATGTCCAATCCGCGCAGGCAACCTTGTATGGGTTTCCACCGAGGAGTCCGCACTCGAACAAGATGTCTCGCTCAAACTCCTCCCCAAGTGGTTTGGACCATGAACCGTCAAATCAGCCGCGGGTGACTAGCCCGATTGCCCATCGTTCATGATCGACATCCCGCCTCATCTACCAGTCCACCCGGTCGTTCACACCTCTACACTGGCTACTTACACACCAGCCAAGAGCGGGGACTTCCCGAGCTTGCGATCGCAAGACCCTCCTTCCATGGATGGTCACTAGGAAATCGATCGGGTCATCACGCATCGCAAGTATGGCAACAGGCCAATGCAGTACAAAGTTTCCTTCAAGCAATGCGACCGTGATGACACACAATGCATTTCACGAGCAGACTTGCAGGCGTCCGCACTGCTTACCTACGCCTACTACGAGAAGCGACCGGGTTAGGGGCAGTTACCAGATCTGTGTCGTTTCACTCTAGGCTTAGGTCAGTGGGACCTGTTACCGGGTCCGAGTTTAGGACCAGTGTCAGGATTCATTTTCGTTAGGCGCCAGGATACAGTTCAGTTTTGGCACCAGGTCTGTTTTCCGTTGAGACACTGGCACAGTTTTGGACTGGTGGAGGCAGCCTCCCAGCCTCCACCAGTCGCCCAGCACTATTTATAGCTTCAGTAGTTGACGCGCTGGGCGCTGTAGGCGCTGTGTAGTATTCGAGTAGAGCGCTGGTAGAGGTTGACGACGCCGGAAGGAGTAGAGCCGGAGGCGAGGGGGATTACCTGTCGACTTACCTGCGGCAGCATAGCTCCAGCTTCGTCTTCAGCACGTCCGCACCTGCATTAAGGCAACACCTTTCTGCAGGTTAGTACTGGGCATATATGCGCACACACACACACACACACACACACACAGAGAGAGAGAGAGAGAGAGAGAGAGAGAGAGAGAGAGAGAGAGAGAGAGAGAGAGAGAGAGAGAGAGAGAGAGAGAGAGAGAGAGAGGATTGCTTCTTCTTCTTCCTCTGTCTGTTCTCCATCGCTCCTCTTCTTCCCTTTGGAGCTGCTGCTTCTTCTGCTGCTTCTGCTGCTGCTGCTGCTGCTGAGGTACGGGAGAGAGAGAGTTGACATTGCGACTTGGTGAACTTTTGGGCTTCGCCCAGTTCAGTGACATTGAGACTCGACATTGTATGAGGAGCGACATTGGGGATGTACTGGAGACTGGGTTCATCGGGATATGGTGGCTGATCCCCCCTATCTTGCCCTCCCTTCGTCAATGTATGCCCTCGGACCCAGCGCACCTTCTATGTTTGCTGCATTGAGTCCCCTCGCACTGTGTGATGATGGTTGAAGTCAGGTCCTGCCATTGTCCATGCTGAGTCAGATCTTCGCATTTCAGTCTTCCGCTGTGCTATTTTTGTATTCTCTGAGAGGTCGGTTCTTGGTTGTGATCAATGCCGATTAGGCATGCGACATTGTGCCCCTCAAGCAGCCAGCACTGCATTCGTGGAGATGAGAGCAGCCAGCCAACAACCCCTTTCTGCCTCACTTGCGATGAAGTCGTTGCATTTTTTCTACTTCATCCGAGTTGCTCATGTTTGCACATTCATTGACCACCAGGCTCTAGCCAATTGCGAAAAACAAAACGAGGTTTGCGTGTTTGCCCATCAGTTCTGCGCACATGCCTCCTCAAATGGTAACCAACTACTAAAAAAAACATAGTCATGGAGCTTTAACAAGTTATGCACACGTTCAAATTGTACCGAGCTACATTCAAATTGTAACCAGCTACTACATGCCTCCATGAGTTATGCACACATGCCTCCTCTCATTGGGCATTTGATTTGGGTTCTGCATTGAGCACTGCACTCCACCTCCATCGTTTCCAAACATTTTTCCCGAATGCGTCAGTGGTGAAGGCGACCTGGAGTGATGCTCCCCCAAGTCGAAGGTCATCACAGCTGAAAGGCTATGTGTTTCATCATTCATGTGTCAGAGACAGAAAAGAATCAAGAATGAAGTCACCTACGCTTCATGTTCAGTTGCAGGATGGAATGGGGGGGGGCAGCAGGACTTGGCAACTAAAGTACAAGGAATGTGGCAATTTAGAACTCGTGAAAAAGCTGCCCACCAAATTTAGAGAGTATTCATTTCGGAGGCCAAGCTGGCCCTATTAAGAATGAACGCTGGACCCGCTTTCCAGCAGGTGCCGCTCCCCACCAATAGATGGAGCAGCCCGGCAGATCAGCCCTCGATTCTGGTGGTTCTCTTACCACCATCGAAATGGAGAAGCTTACACA